CTCTTGGTCTCTCTGGCTCTGACTCCTGCTACTCGTGACTTGGCTGTGCATTGGTCAGTGGGTGGTGAGCAATTGTATAATTTGTTTTATTTTCTAATTTTTGATTACTTATTATAATCATTATCATATATTAGTTTCCTAATTATGTATTGTCTTCCATGGTCAGTGGATGGAAAATATTAATCTCCAAATAAATTCTGTCCCATATGTTCTATCTTTCTCTAGATATTAGCTTAGATCATGGTAAATATTTTCTCTTTCTTCCATATTAAAAATACCAATAGCTTGGTGCGTAAATTTGGAGAGTCTCTGAGTGAAAGGAAAATAAGGATAAATTTAGCTTATGAAAAGTTCCACAATTCGTAGAATTTGTCTTAAAAAATTATAAAACTGAAATCTGACATTTTTATTAAATGGCAAAAAACTTTATTCATGCAGTCAAGAAAGTACATTCTTAGCTGAAAATTTTGTAAATGGGTTTACAGGTGTACCTAAGATAGTCCCCTTTTTATTCTGATTTCTAACTGAGAAATGAACAAATTCACCCAGGATATACTCCACTTAAGTTTAAGCACTTAATAAATGCGCTGAATCAAGGGATAGAGTGTTATATTATTTTTTCTGCAATCACAGAGAAAAAAATAAACTTTTTTTGTATGTTAATCCACCACCATTAGTAAGAGCATTCTGTTAATCATGTAGAAGCCATGAGGCAGTTTTGATTCCCAAGTCAATAACATCTTGAGATATATGTAAGATTCTTCATTTATGGGATTTGAATTTCAACTTCACTTTCTCAATGTAGGAAAACCCAAAACTGCAATGAACCTTAGGAGAGTTAAATGTTCAGCAAAACAAATATGTATTATTTCCCTACTTTCCACCTCTTCCACCTGTCCATTTAACATGTCATCTAATTCCTACATTTTTAAATTGGAATTCTGGATGTTAACCATTCATAATGGGTGTAAATTGAAATCAGGGAGGTTTAGATTAGATATCAGGAAGAAATTCTTCATGGAGAGGGCGGGGAGGCACTGGGACAGGTTGCCCAGAGAAGCTGTGGATGCCCCATCCCTGGATGTCTTCAAGGCCAGGCTGGATGTGGCTTTGAGCAACCTGGTCTAGTGCAAGGTGTCCCTGCCCATGGCAGGGGGGTTGGAACTAGATGATCTTTAAGGTCCCTTCCAACCCAAACCATTCTATGATTCTATGATTCTATAATATTTCTTTGACTACAACAGCATCTTTAACTTGTGGGCTTTGCCTGTTTTTCTTTTTTTTTTCCCCTGTGAATCTTGAAGAGAAAATTGGGGTTTTAATGACAAAAATACATACATATATATATATATACACTTATATATGTTGGTTTTAATTTCACTTTTGATTGGAAATCTACCACTGAGTTAAAAGGAAAATTTAATAACTCTAGTTTTCTGGAAATGATAGTCTGATTATATTGGTTTCGTTTGGTAGAGTAAGAATGATTCAAAAGAAGAATTACAGACTACTGTTCATATATAAACTTCACTGTCCAGTGAAGTCCATTCTTATCCAAAAGAGGATTGCCATGAAGATGATCAAAGGGCTGGAGCACCTCTCCTATGAAGAAAGGCTGAGGGAATAGGGCTTGTTCAGCCTGGAAAAGAGAAGGATCTGAGGAGACCTTATAGCACCTTCCAGTACCTGAAGGAGGCCTACAAGGAAGTTGGGGGGGACTTTTTACAAGGGCCTGTAGTGACAGCACAAGGGGTAATGGGTTTAAATTGAAAGAGGGGAGGTTTAGATTAGATATCAAGAAAAAATTCCACAGGGAGAGGGTCATGAAACACAGGAACAGGTTGCCCAGAGAAGCTGTGGATGCCCCATCCCTGGAAGTGTTCAAGGCCAGGCTGGATGAGGCTTGGAGCAACCTGGTCTAGTGGAAGGTGTCCCTGCCCATGGCAGGGGGGTTGGAACTAGATGATCTTTAAGGTTCCTTCCAACCCAAACCATTCTATGATTCTATGATTCTATATCTGATCAAGCTGGTCACTCAACTGGGATGTCTCTTCACCCTGTTGATGCTTTGAAGATAAAGTCTCCATGGGACAGGAAAAGGCCTTTTCCACCTACCTGTCCTCATCTGACAGTTCCAGTTCTGTTCTATGGAAGTGCCATCTACATGTACGTGAAACCAGACTCTTTACATTCTTCTTAGAGAGACAAACTATTTTCTATCTTATAGAATATCTTTACCCCAATATTAAATCCAATTATTTTCAGCTTAGGAACATGGAAGTCAAGAAAGTGTTGTTGAGGCTTATGAGAAGGGAAACATGGGCCATAAGTAGCACAGAATGTCTCATAGGTGTGTTTATCTCTGGGACTCCCATTTAATCATAGAAGGTCAAATTCATACAGGCACACATTTCCACTGTAGAAACGGCCATCTGAACTATTCAAGCTGGACTGCCTTTAGAGTTACCAGGGAAAACCAGCACAAATACTACACATGTTAACACACTAAACAAGGCAGTAAACATTGCTCTAAAATTTCCTGTTGATCTCCGCTGACTGCTAAAGAAGGCTAGGATAACTATTTCATATACAGATGTCAAAATCACACATTTCTAAAGCTACTTCCATGATTTTTGTCTCCTGAAATTCCATGTTTTAATAATAATTGGAGTACTGTTACTAGGAAGTAAGTGCATGAATACCTCTGTCTCTTTACCATAGCATAGGGTCTAAAAAAAGACTAAAGAAATGAAATATCCAAATGTATGTTTCATTGGAAGATGGGCATTCTGACTGCCATTCATTTCCTCTAACTTTAATTAAAATCCCAGAAGTCTAAGAGGTCTACGGTTTCGAAGAAACTTCTGGGGATAGTGTACATGACATACATGATGATGTACATAAGACATACATAATTTAGTATTGTTCTAAGAATTAAACGGTAAAGAGGACTATAATCCAGTGTCTGGAAGCTCTCCTGTGTGTTCCTTAATATTAAACTCTAGCCATTTAGTATTCTCTTTTGATATCTATTTTTGGATGAAATATGTGACATGCAAATGTCACACATTGTTAGGTGCACTGCACCCAAAAGATCTCATTAAAATCTAGGATCATTAGATTCTTAAGTGTTATGAAGATCCTATATGCGACTCTCTATCTGTACTCTAGCTATCTCAGTTTTATAGAAGTTAAATGTTATAACTAATCCTCCAAGCTCTAGAGTTTGAATCTTTTCTTATTTTCAGTGTTTCTGTAATGTAGAGAATAGATACAATTAGTTCAAAGAAATTACCTAATCAGGCTAACAAGGTACTGAAGAGAAACAAAAGATACTGATCCCCTAGAGGGTATTGTGCATAGTTTACAGGTTTGGTTTTTTTGGTTGGATTTTAAGAAATTGTCTGGTGTGATTCCTCCTATTTTTTTTTTTTTTACTCACTTTCTTAGTAATTTTTTAGTAAACTGTACTATTTCAAGTGAATTTTATTGTGAACTGGAGTTGTTAATTGTATTGATTGCCTATGTTCCATTAGAAAAGTCACTGTCTGTTCTTCAGTCTGAGGAAGGGGCAATTAGAACTCACATGTTCTCATGTTAATTAACAGTGGTCAGTTGATATGGTTAACTAAACAAGCCAAGTTGGTATCCCATTAAAAATATTCCTTTCTTTCAAGATAAAGGAACATAGGACAATATTGAGAGTACTAGGAAGGTGGCACTAGAGTATAACTAGGAGATGAGGAGCACAGGTCACAGTTTTGCTATGGAAATTGAGCAACAGCAATCATAGGGATATGGAAGAAACCATGATTACTTTAATGGGTGTAGGTATCACAAAACTTTAGAAAATTAGGGACTGGTTTGGGTACCTAAGCATACTTATGCAGTGCTGCTTAAGGTGCCTAATGTTAACCTGTCTTGGCCTCTGTTAATGCTTAAGAGTGCATATGTCTTTCCTATGCTATAAAGACATCCCTAGATAGTCACCTTTTTATTGGTTAGACTTGATGATGTTAAAGGTCTTTTCCAACCAAAAAGACTCTACAATTCTAACCTAGGAACCTATGAACACTACAAAGGCTCTAGACCTTTTATGGACCAACAAGCTAAAGGTAGAGGAAATTAATATCATTCCCAACTCCCAGTTTTTCTGTTTGTGTCAACTAGCATTCTGTCAAATTCGATCAAAGCCAAATGTAAAGGTAAACAACATTGTCAACATGCATTTTGGGTTTGGAGGTATCAAAAGTTTATTCTTGCATATGCATGGCATTACCATCTATTTGGTCTCAGTGCCAAGTAGATTCTATTGTTCTTAAAAGTTAATTTTAACACTAAGATTTACAGTTTTTCATGATAGAACTAGAATGGATTCCATTTAACGTTAAGACAGTTAATGTAGTATCTAAATACATGAATCTATATGTGATCTGTATTTCCAAACTCTGAACAGTGTCTGAAGTGCAGATTCAGTCAATGCAGTCTGGACTTAATTCACAATCATCCATTTTGAGATATCTCAGAACACCCCAGAACTTGCACACATATGTGGCAAATACAGTGTGGAATTTATGGAAGATCTGTGTTATTTTTGGAGAAAAAAATAAAAAGAAAAAAGGCATCTAAGCAGAGTACTCATATGGAACTAGATTCCTACTTTGATGCATTTGAATCCTGCTCTCAGTGAAGCAAGTCAATAACTCTGAAACAAATACCTACTGACTGGACAGCTACAGAGTTCTCTAGACTCCACAGACTGTATTAAGAAGATCCTTAAGAGAGGTTAAGAATTTTTTAACCTCTTTCATCTTGTCAGCTGTCAGAGCACTGTGTGCTATTTCCTTTGTCATGTAGAACATAGAGACAGCAAAGAGATAGGAAAAGCAAGGAAAAGCAAGGTAATTTTCCTCCCTTCAGATAAAAGATTAATCAAAGTTCATCACAACATGCGAATTGGCAATAAAACTAAGTAACCCCAGTGACTCTTTTATTGAATCCTATTGTCTGTAGTTTGAGGAATGAGGACATGAGAGGAACCCTGAGAAAAAGATGGAGGAATATTGATTTTGTATGGAAATGAAATAGACTATTCCTATTTTGTTCTGGTGGTGCAATTAAATTTTACAACCATTCTGCAGTGATGATCAGAAGCCAGTAAGGGAATTCTAAAATATCTAAAACACCTAGGTGGTGTTTTTTTAAAGTAGCAGATTCCTACCATGAATTGGAGTCCTGTTCAAATATGCCCAGTGAAAGCAGATGAATTCCAAATACAGAAATACCCAAATACAGAAATCCACAAAAGAATTAGAAAAGCTATTAATCACACCAAGAAAAAAAGGAGTTATTTTCCATATATCTGGGAAGAATGCAAATTAGTTGCCTAATGATAGATATCTAGGTTCAGCTGGGATCCTGCAGTGTATTTTCTGGGGACTCAAACTATTTCTATGGAAAAGTTTCTAGGGACTCAAACTATTTCTGTGGTTTTCTGTAGGTTCTCTGTCATATTTCACAATCCTCACAGATCTATCCATTGTCCAGGGTGTGTCAGATATTAATAGAAGTCTGCCTTCAGGCTATTGAGTCAAACCTGGAGAAGGAGGTCCCAAGCTTTGTGAATGTGGTTTGTCTTCAGCTCATATAATTTTGGGCACATAAATATTATTATATTATATATTATTATATTATTTGGCCACATCTAAATATAATTTGGGGTGTAATCTGACTCCAGATCCAGACACCTATTTGCAGGTGTGTACAATCCCACTGATTGTCTGAATTCACATTATAGTAAAAAAAAACCCGAAAACCCCAGATCCATACAGTTAATGTAGTCTGGAGATTGAATCTACTGAAAAAGTACAGGTGTCATCCACAGTGACAGTTTAGAAACCCACTTAAAATGTAGACATTTTGATAATCTGATGCTTAAATAAAGATGTTTAGTGTAATTTCAGATGTCTGGGAGTATTGAATCTGTCTTACAAATGCCATTCCAAAATGGTATGAGCTTCTTATAGCTGTTGTATCTCCCAGTTGTATGTCAGAAATCTCATACCGTATTAGTCTATGTGAAGAACCCATGCTAATAATCACTTCATAGATAATGAGACCATCATTCAGAGAGCATATGTGATAAGCCCAAGATGAAATTGTTGCTGAAGGACAGAATTTCTAAATTTGTCTTAGAATCTTTATCTCTAATGTTTTATAACTATAAATATAGTATCTGCTAGAATGGTATCTACTATGTTGTAGACCTTGATGGGCTACAGAGGGATCATCTATGTCACCATGGTCTTCTCCATGGATCTCTCTTGGACCTGGCTGGATTTGGCTCTGTCCAGCATGGGGACAGCTTCTGGCACCTTCTCACAGAAGCCACCCCCGCATATCCCCTGCTACCAAAACCTTGTCACCTTAACCCAGTGCACAGGTACAGGACCACATAATGATAAAGGATACAGGATGATACTGGTCTGAAAAGGATTTGCCAAAAATACTGTAAATGTGAATAATTTTGCAACAAGCAACCCAGTGGCTATGGAGAGGTTAGCAAAACTGAATGCAGCAATTGCTGTCTGCAGCAATTCAATTACTGCAGACATAGAGTAAAACTTCTCATATGTAATCACCTGTATAAGAAAAGTTCTTATTATCTTGGATCATCTAAAATTGTGCTAGAACATTCTCATTAGACAACTGAATTATACCCTGAAGATATACCTAGTGCCTACAGAACAACTTGGCTCACGCTAAAGTCAGTAATGATATATGGCCATCTAGAATAAATATAATATAGTGGAATAGAATAGAATAGAATAGAATAGAATAGAATAGAATAGTTCACTTGGAAGGGACCTGCAACGGTATTTCAGTTCAACTGCCCAACCATTTCAGGACTGACCAAAAGTTAAATCATGTTGTTAAGAACATTGTCCAAATGCTGCTTAAACTCTGACAGTTTTGAGGCATTGTCCATCTCTCTAAGAAGCCTATTCCAGAGTTTGATCACCTTCTCTGTAAAGAAACGCTTCCTAATGTCAAGTTTGAACCTCCCCTGACACAGCTTTGAACCATTCACACATCCTGTCACTTGGTACCAGGGAGAAGAGGTCAGGACCTACCTCTTGACTTCCCTTCCTCAGGAACCTGTAGAGAGCAGAGGTCACCCCTCAGCCCACTTTTCTCCAAAAAGACTGCCCAGTCTTTTTTTGCTACTCATAGGAAATGCTTTCTGGCCTTTTCACCAGCTTTGTTACTCCCCTCTGGATGCAAGGTAAGGACCTTCACATCCTTCTTAAATTGTGGGGTCCAGAACTGCATGCAATACTCATGGTGAGGCTGCACCAATAATGAATACAGTGGGATAATCACCTTTTTCGAACAGTTAGTTTAGTGCATTTCATGCATCTGAGGATGCAGTTTGCCCTCTTGGCTGTCAGGGCACACTGCTGACTTGTATTGAGCCTGTTGTCAACAAGTGCCCACCCCAGATCCCTTTCTGCAGGGCTGCTTTCCATCCACTCTTCTCCTAGTTCATACTTGTGCCTGACATTACTCCATCCCAGGTGCAGAATCCAGCACTTGGACTTTTTAAATTTCATGCCATTGTTAGTGTTCAAGGTACTCATCTACTTAGATGCCACTGCAAGGTATCTTGTCCCTTGAGCGAGTCAACAACACCTCCCAGTTAGAAAATTTGCTTATGGTTCATTCAACTCCTGCACTAGATCATTGATAAATATATTGGACGACACTGGCCTTAGAACTGTGCCCTGAGGAACACGACTGGACACTGGATTTCACTGTAGTCCAGTGATTGCACTGATTGGATTCCCATCATCTGCCAAATTATTCAGACATTTGGGGCCCAAGAGGTAGAGATCAGCAGCGTGTCCTCTAGTATATTCTATAGTACTTGAAACCATCACACATACCGACACATATGACGTAACACTTGACAAATATTCAAAAACTTCTGCAGTTACAGCCTGAGGCTATAGAAGAAACCATAGAATATCACATATGGCACTAGACACTGATTCCTTGGCAATCAAACTGTGCAACTGTATATTGACTTGGCATTTTAGACACTTAAATTAAGACATCTGGAGCTGAATCTTATTCTCATAACATTGTTCATGTGTTTAAACATATATTTTACATATCATTTGAGATATTGTGTCAGAGGTCTGGAAGGTAGAACACAGTATCTATGGGAGATTTATACTCTTCTGATGTGACAGATGAGGACTAGAATATCATAGTGTATCACAAATGGCACCTGTGCCCTTTCACATTGTGATACACAGCATTATATATCCAATCTGTTTGCTCTAATGTGCAGTAAGGTATATGCTTCAAGGACTGCATCTTTGATCTGTTATGGGTCAGTTTGACCACAGAGGATTTTCCTGTCATTCAGTGTTGGGAATTGCTGGTAACCCGGAGAGGTAAACATATCCGGAAGATTATTTAATCCAGCTGTGCCCTTTCACATTGTGATACACAGCATTATATATCCAATCTGTTTGCTCTAATGTGCAGTAAGGTATATGCTTCAAGGACTGCATCTTTGATCTGTTATGGGTCAGTTTGACCACAGAGGATTTTCCTGTCATTCAGTGTTGGGAATTGCTGGTAACCCGGAGAGGTAAACATATCCGGAAGATTATTTAATCCAGAAAACTAAATTAAAAAAAAAAAAAAAGGTGCTGGTTCAGTACAATGCCAAGTAAGAGAGACAAAGACACACCAGTGTCAGGTATCACAGATACCAAGTGGGAGCTGATTACAGGCTATACTGTTAAATTCAACTACAAAGTTTATCCTGCAGGCAATGGATATGCGCAGCACAACAAAAATCTGAAGGCCAAGCTGTACATGCAGCAAAGCATGTGCCTGGACCTACACAGGTTAAATGTTACATAGATCATTAATTCCTCAGTGTGTACAATGGCCTTCAAGTCAGGGTTACTACACAAACATAAGTTTGTGTGAAGATATATCTATACAAATAGTATACATACAGAAAGAATAACATTTTCTGAATACAGTAAGATTGTGATAGAATAAGGAAGTAAACCTATTTTTTTGGCAGGCATTTTAGTTCACTTTAACTGTGTCTGTAGAGTTTTAGTCAACTGTTTTTCAATGATATCCAACATTCCTATATGGTTCTGAAAATGATAAATTTAGGGTTTTCACAAGGAAATTATACATCAGCCAAGGTTCTTTTATGAATTATATTATTAGTATTGTAGCAGAATAATTTACAGTGAGGTGTAGCTCAGTCATCAAAACACCCTCAGGAATGGGAAGGAGACATTTCTACATAGAAACGATGATACAATTTTTTCCTTGCCGGACTTCAGTGCAGTGAGACAGTGACGTCTGAGTCAACAATGAAAGAGTTGCAGTACTCTTACTCAACTAATTTCAAGAAGGAAACCTCACTACTGTCTGTATTTCTCTGTATGCTCAGCCAATAACTTATTGGTGTGCAGAGCAGCTTGTGCCTATGATCTTTCTCAGAGTCTCTTTCACCTCCTTGTTCCTCAGACAATAGATTAGAGGGTTCAGTGCTGGAGTGAATACAGCATAGAAGACAGACACTACTTTGTTAAGGTTGAATGGATGAATTCTTCTGGGCCTGGCATACATGAAGAGAGTGGCTGAGAAAAACATGATGACTACAGTGAAATGGGAGGTACAAGTGGAAAAGGCTTTTCTCCTTCCCTGGGCTGAAGGCATACACAAGATAGTTGACAAGATACAGCAGTAAGAGAAAATAATGATCAAGAGAGGTATCAGCAGGATCACCAAGGCTAATACAAAGTCCACTGTCTCTGCAAGGGACATATCAGTGCAGGAAAGGTTCAGGACTGGAGAGATGTCACAAAAGAAGTGGTTTATGACTTGTGGACCGCAAAACGTAAGGCGTGAGATAAATGACACTTTGACCAAGGAAATAGAAAAGCCTCCTGCCCATGAGAGAATTGACAGCTGAAAGCACAACTTGTGGGTCATGATGGCTGAGTAGTGCAGGGGGTGGCAGACAGCCAAATAGCGGTCATAGGCCATTACGGCCAAGAGGACACATTCAGTGCACATAAGGGAGATAAAGAAATATAATTGAGTCATGCAGTTGGAGAATGAGATGGTCATGCTCTGTGACCAGAACCCAAATAAAAGCCTAGGCAGTGTTACTGAGACGTACCAAATCTCCAGGAAGGACAAATTCCCCAGGAAATAATACATGGGCTTTTGGAGGTGATGGTTCCTTTTCACCACAAAGATGATGACTGTATTCTCAGTGATTGTTACTATGTAGGTGATCAGAAAGACCAGGTAAAGCAAGAACTGGATCTGCACCCCATAGGAAAATCCCAGAAGAATGAACCCGTTGATAGGAGTTTGGTTCTTCATTCCATAGTGGGTGCCCACAGCTATCCCTGCAGGTGTTAAAGCAGAAGAAAAAGCAAATGTAAGTGTTCTACACAAGTAAGTTTTGTGAAGAATTAAGACACTTAGTAAACTATTTCCCATGGAAACCTTTTACAAAGTAGAACCTATCTTTCTTTCAAGAAAGAAAGTGAGAGGGACATGTCTTTTTTTTTTTTTTTCCCCAATGACTTGTTAGTTTGCTTTCAATAGTAACATTGGAAAACCAACCCAAAATTTAGCAATGAAAGTTCCAGAAGACCTCTGTAATGCACACTGTTTTTCTGAGGATGTAGTATCGAAGAACATAGACACCCTGGCTGCTGACATTCACATTGCTGAAAACAGATCCACAAAACTTCACGTAGTATATAGATAAAAAAGAGCGAAATACATAGAGGTAATACTAATTAAACATATATTTTTGAAAATGCTGGAATTCCTAGATTTGCTATTAGGAAATTACCTCCCTCTGTATTTTTCATTGACAGCAGTCAGGTTTATCAGAAGAGACTGCTACAGGGATTACAACTCTCTTAGCTATAGATTTTAGGAGTTTAAGCAAGAAATTTTTAGTAAATATAAAGACTGTCTTCTCCAGTGAATGATTCATCTACCTTGTATTAAAGACCTGCCTTTGAAAGAGAAGAATAATTCTTTCTTATTTTCATTTTGCACTTAGCTCTGATTTAGACATTTATCTAGTTGATGGTTTAACAAGTTAAAGTATGTATTACATGTTTCTATTGACTTATTTGCTCTAGATTCCTTTTGTAATAAATGGATATCTGCTTAAGGCTTTAATTGAACTTTGGTAGCCTAGAGTATAATATTGTCTTTAGATATATCTCCTTCGAAACCATATCCCATATTTGCACTGTCAGAATGCCTATTTCCCTTCATGGCCGTTTTAGTGATCCTTAACTGACCATGAAGTAGTTGTCTCTACCATAAATGATATAAGATTGAAAAGGTGAGGTTTATTCTTAGTCCACCCAAAAGGGAAAAAAAACCCTTTCCACAGAACAAATCCTTGTCAAATTCCATGATGCAAAGAAGATCCTGATCAAAAAAATATTCCCCACAGAGAGTAGCAATGACTGTCTAAAGCTCTGTGAAGAATGAAATTGGCACAAGGTATCACCAGGCATCTACCCTCACATTCAACCCCTATAATGTTCCTTCTATCCTGTCTTTACTACTCATGTCTTCCTGATGAGCTTAATAAAAAGAACTGTGAATCTCCAACTAAAAAAACATTTCTTAAAAAAGAATAGTCACTGATGACACTGATGTGATACACATCAGTTGGTATTTTTGTAACTACAAATCACACTGTGTATTTTTTTATTTACAAGGCACACTTACAGAATATCCAAATCAAGTCAACTTATGTCAAGGGAAGAAAAAACTTGCTTTTTCATTGAGAGGGAACACTTATTGGGAAGATTTGATGCATTTTGTTATTATTCTTGACTTCCAGGTGTATTCCGTTATTATACATCTGGAAGTTTGCGTTATGAAAATGTATCAGATGGAATAATCAAGAAGAATTCCTTTTTGAAGCATTCAGCCCAATAATGTACACTGTAATGGATACATGATTTCCTGATTTAATCATGTTAGTGTAGTAAATTATTAAGACTTACCAATTCAGGTTTTCCAGGTATGCATGTGGCCTTTAAAGTTTTGTAATGAGCATTAGATCAGATGTATATTTAATAACCTACCTGAAAGGTTGTCCTTAAAGGACATAGTGTCTTTTTTCTAGGAAAGGACTGAGCTAGTAAAGTCCTCTGCCAATTAAAGAAATGAAGACAAGACAAAGCTTATTATCACTAATTATCTCCTATAATTATCTCCAGATGCTAATTTATATGTGTAATTGCACGTAGTAGAAACAGAGTCTGAAATGAGATCAAGGGAATAAGGACCATAACAGAAAATAGAGTTTTCATGCTTTGAACAGAATAAGAAGTGTTCTTTCTCTGAAATATATAAGGAGGTCAAGACTAGGTAGGAATTATATTTGCTGAAATGTTTGTCAATTCTGCAGTTATAGTCTGAAAAAAAAGAGGCATTCTGAGAAAAATATTTTTTTTCCTTAAAAAAACCCCCATCCTCTTTCACTTTACACATTTAAATATTAAAGATGCAAAAATGTATTCACATTTAAGAAGGTTGAACTAGATGTTCTCTAGAGGTCCCTTCCAGCCTCTACCATTCTGTGAATCTGTGAAATCAAAATATAGACTTCTATGTACATGTATCTACCATAAATATTTAGAACGCAGCTTTTATTTTCTAGATAGGCACGCAATGTCATCTTAAATGTCATTGGACCTGTCTATTCAAAAAATTGCCTCCAGAGATGATGAAACATCATAGTACATACACTATCAATTATATGTGAGTATGTGTACAGCATAGCTTCCTTTTAAAGAAGAACCAGGAAAATGCAGAGATTTGCTGGTTTCAGGCAGGAATGAGCTCCAGTGCTGTTGGCTGGCCCAGAGTGGCCAACAGAGTTATTTCATTCCATGGTATGTTAGGCTTAGGGCACATGGGCAGTTTAGAGGCAGGAAGTGGCTTGAGGTGGGGGGTCATTAAGGCTTTCGGCTATCTTGATAGCTGGGTCATTAGATCTTTTGTTAGCTCTTGTTGTGGTTGTTCGCAGTAGGTCAGGTTCTCTTGTTATTGTGTTGGGAGGTTGGCTGGCTTTCTCCCTGTTCTGGGGCTCTCAGGGCAGGAATACTTGCTGCTCTGGGACCCGGCTGTGTGTCGGTCAGTGCATGGTGAGTTATTGTCTCATATGTTCTATGTTTTATTATTTTAATTACTTATTATTAGTAGTATTGTTAGTATTAGTATCACTATAATTTTGATTTATATTATTAAATAGTTCTTATCTCAACTTT